GCCTCTGCAGCAGTAAGAAGGATGTAATTTGGTGTTTTAGCCATCATATTAGAAATGCTGGTTAAAACCTTCAGTTATAGGAAACATTTGACAGCTTAATGTGCTTTTATTTCCTGTAGCTTCTGACAATGTTTGGCGATAAGGGTTACATGAATCACACACAAACCGGGGTCAGGTTCTGACAATTCTTTGGTGTTCAGTTAGGGTAAACTGCTGAGTGTTTTTCCATTCACTCTTGTACATCAGTCTGACTGGAGTAAAACTGACAAAGCCAAAACCCCGGTGACCTCGACAGCCAGCACTCATGGGTGGCATTGTTGGCTGCTTGGAAGGGAAACAACAGAAATGGACAGCACCGGCAGCCAGTGCTCACCACTGTAACCTCTGAACCCAGAAGGGAACCAACAAGTGTGATGGCATTCGCGTACTATGTATTTGTACAACATCAACAGCCAGTCAGTAACTAACTGTTTAATTCAACACAGAGATTAGCAAGAGGGCTCTGCCTATAAAAGCAAAACCTCTCAGCCCTGTATACCCCCCCAACCCAAGAAAGACTGTTTAGTGATCATAATGAGCTGAGAAAGAGAGAGAAAGGGCAGGAAGAGGTGTGACTGCTTGTTAGCGCTTGGTGCAGTTTGTTCTTATGTCTCCTGTCCTGTGGCCTTTCCAGTCTGTGGGTCCCTTGGGCTCTATGACGGCCCAGCCCTGAAGCCATTAGGGGCCTCCTCTGGTGACCTCCTTTACTGTAATTGGACCTCTTAATGAGAGAGGGAACCCTTGCACCTTTCTATCAACAGGATTACACCTTTTAGAGTAACACACCTAGATTAAAATCAGGCATCCCCCCTTTAAAACAGTCTTTGAAGAGAGCAGGCATATATGGTGACTCTGTGCCTTTCTTCAAGTCAAATGATTAAGACCAGCTCAGAATATAACTTAATGAAGGTCTAGTTTTTGGAGACTTTGGGTTCTTGTGCTCAAAAAGGTCATGATGATGAAAAATGGCAAAGTGTATCTGAAGACATGGTTTGTACGAATGACTTCTAGGCAGCCTGTGCTTTCAGTACATATGGACTTTGTTTATTCAGTGACATTGTTTTGAAGAAGTCTAGTTGTTTTCTCTGACAAAAACAAAGGAAATGTAGCGTGTATGAACTGCTCTATCTTATTACTCAGGTAGTGTACGTTCATGTAGAAATGGTAAGAGACTATGAAAAGCGATGTGGGAGAGGGCGTCAGGGCTATCGTAAAGGAAGGTAATTGGCTGAAGAAAGACAGACTTAGGGGGGCAGAGGAGCATCTTTAATATCTTGTCACTCAGAATTAATCTCCCAATCTTTCTTATTATTAACTATATTTAATAGTTACATAAATACATCAAAAGACAAAGTGCACTGTGCCAAATGCAGAGAACAACCATACCCTGCACAAGCTGTGTCGCTCTATATCAGCATCACCTTTCTTTAGCCTTCGCTCACGTCTCATAATTACCCCAGCTTGCTAGATGGTGTTATCATTTGAGCATAAATATGTAGTTATGAGACACTTGCTGAAAGATCTAATGTTGTCATTTTGTTTGAGAGGACAGCCTCTTAAACTGGGATACACAGTTTATACTGTTGTATTATTTTGACGTGTTTTGGAAGGGTTCAAATATAACAAGGAAAAGGCTTTGCTTTTTTCAAAGTGTGTTGTTTTGTACTGCCCCCACATATTCAACCCTCAGACTCAAACTAAGCAGAAGAGACACACTTTGTGTTATTTTAATGCATTGCAGGGCGTTTCCATTGAATTCCGTATATCAGATCAGCACTTTGGAATAACTGTACAGAGGTAAATAAGGACTCAAAGGCTGGGGGTGGGGGTATAAAAGCTCTGTATATCATGCAGTAAATCCCTTGCAGACTGTTGCTCCCACACATGAAAATTTCCTGTTCAAAGCCACAGTGCTTTACCAGCACAAGAGCTGCATGAGACGGCAGGAGACGACTTCTGCCTTTATCGTTTCACCAGCATACCGAGAGAGTACACAGCTCTCAACCCACTTGATCCAAGTCTATGCTTTTATGTATAGAGTGAAAAATAAGGGAGCAACAGAAAAAAGGATGTGAGATGAATGAGATGCGTCCAAATGAAGCCCCATCTCTCAGAAGTTGCGAATGAGGCATTTTAAAACATGACAAGATAAGGCAGGATTATCAGCCATGATTTGGGGGTCAGGCTTGTATCATTGGGTTTCAAAGGGCTGTCTTGCAGTTTCAGCTATGATGGAAGAGGTGAGCCCCCATATGTGCAATGCACTGTAATGAATCCAAGCCTGCTGGCCAGGAAGACAGACAGGAAACAGAGCAGGTAGTATGAAGTACTACTGCAGCATATTTTTCATGTCAGGGAAGAAAAAACTCCTGCTGCACTTCCTTGATCTTCTCTTCGGACCATATTTCCAGCATATTTCCCTCCTCTGTGACGACTGCACCAACAGTCCTTGGTCATGTAGATTTTTCTTTGAATGAGCAGTTGAGATGACAGAAAGCTCAGCTGAGTGTAAAAGTTCATTCTTGACCTTTGAAGTAGAAGCTTGACAAAACTTAAGAAGCCATTAGGTGAACTATGAATTAAAGGAATAGTTAGATATTTGGGGAAATACACATTCTTATCCAGCATTAGATGCTGTAAGAGAATCAACACCAATCTAAGTCTGTTATGTATGGAGGTGGGGCCGGGAGGTGATTATCTTAGCTTAGCATAAAGACAGAAAAAGAAAATCGGGTTTGCTCCAAACCTCAAAAATACACCAGCACTTCTAAAGCTAATTCCCACAAGAGAACTAAAAAAGACAAATTAGGGCTTTAAGGGGAATTGCTGCTATATTTCTTTATGAATAACAGCTGGAAACCATGACACTGTCATAAGACCTTTGCTCGCAAAATACTTATCTAAATCCTTCTAAAACAATTTCTCTTTATTTTGAGATAAAAACGAACAAGAACAAATACTGTAAGTTCCTGGCTTGAACTTTACTTAAAGAGCAGGTACGATAGGAAATTTCAAAGTGATAGTGAAAATCCTCCTCTGCTATTAAATCTGTCTTTGCATTTTTTTAATAAAACGTTAATTAAAATACTGATTCTCCTGCCTGGAGAGTGAGTGGTTATGAGCCCACCCTAAGGGAGAAAAGCTTAAGCTAGCTGCCTCCAACTACATTTGAAAAAAAATGTTACTTTTTAGGAAACTTAAACACAATCCTACCATTATGAAATGCCCAGTTGAAGTCGCTAGTCTGCAGGTCCCTCTCCATCCCAATCAGGATCAGACTCTGGTTCATATAGCTCTATAGCCTGTCAGAGGACAGAAGACAATCTGGAAAAGCTTAGATTTTAGGACTGCAAATCTGTAAATTTGGGGGACTTGGAGAGCAAATGGCCAAAATGGATACCATAAACTCAATATCATGTTTATAAGACACTGCCTGCCTAGTAAACGCCCATGGGAAACGTTATGCCCTTTGTTTGTGTAAGCTTTTTGATAACCTTTAGCTCAAACGGAGACGACACCGATTACATCATTAGGGTTACTTTCTCAAATGTGGAACAGCAGTTTTACAGGTTGAACTCAATGACAACTAAACTGACTGTGTAAAATCAGCGGATGCCCCTATAAAATAAGACCTTTGGATATTCTGGGAATGGTTCTTAACATTGTAGTAATTAAGAAATATTCAGAAGCTTTGTTACTTTGATCAACACATAAAGCATCTGGGAATTTGTCATAATGATGGATTAGTATTGAGTTTAATATCCCGGCTCATTCTTCTATTGTTGCATCATTGCCTCCATGTGTTTCCCTCCTGAGAAAGTCAGTATGGCAACCATCCAATGAGTTGCTGAAACATGGTGATATCAAGCAACAACATTTAATTTGCTTAAATACTGATATTGTTGAGAACTGAGTTATGATGCATATATTCAGGTTCTGAGTGACGCCTGTTCTTTTGGGCATGGCTTCACATCTCAGTTCATCTTTCTATCCCAAAAAGGAATATGCTGTTTATTCTGGCTATAATGATTTTACTTTGGTTTTAAGCCTCTTTCGTGTTAATTTACATGTTTATTGTTCCATGTTTGTCAGTGGTAAACCACACTAAATCGGATCTGTCAGTGCAGTGCCAGTGAAATGTGGCTGTGGTGCTGGCCATGGTGTGCCAGCCAAATATGGTGCTCTAATGTCAGTCTACATTGGACATACTGTAACTTACACAGTCAGTATCTATATCTTACTCAGTTTTACTGATCCACACGTTTAAATGGATGTTCTGCTGCGCAAACGTTTGACAACTGAATCCTTCCACTGCAATAACAAAACCCTAAAATCAAACTGAATGGCTTTAGATAAGATAAAGCAATTGGAGGAGCACAGTTTCCTGACTGCATCTCACCAGGCGGATGTGGACGTAAGCCAGAGCACCGATCCCTTCCTGCAGCTGTTCAGAATGTCCCTCTTGTTTCATGAGCTCAGCACAAATTCATGACATTATTTCATTTGTCTGAGAAGTTCATTTGATTTGTGAATATGATCAATATCAAACCCCTTTGCTCCTGCTCCAAGTCTAACGGCAACAGGGTTCGCATGTGCAAGGAATTATGTGAAGACAGCAGTTCCAGTAAAACTTCTCACTGGTGTACACATTTGTTTTAAAAAAAAAGTGAGCTTGGCTTTAACTGTACTTCTTGCTGCTGTGGACAGCGGATGTAATGTTTGTAAGGTGGTTTTTTTATAGGATAGATCTGAAGGTTCAGCGTGTACTTTGCTGGACTACAGTATACATATGTTGCAACCTTTTACTGTAAAATCAAAAAAAGTACTTATGCATAAGTGATACTAAACTGACTATAAAGTACTATGATTAGCTACAGTAATTATACCTCATTTATGTCTGTAGACTTGTTAAACAACAAGCAAGAAACAGATCTGGTTTTTCTTGGTTTGAAAATTACTCCTTTATCTGTGACCTGAACAAAAAAAGACCCTACACCAGTGAGAAACATGTTAAACCCTACAACATGTAGGGTTTACAGCCTGTAGTCGGGTCCCCCAAAACACCAACAAACAGTATTTCTTGTTGTCTGTGTTACGTTTTTACTGCTATTGATTGTGATGCACTTTGGTCAGTGTGTTGATTGTTGTAAAGCTCTATACAAATAAACATTGATTTGATTTCGATTTGAAATTCAGATAAAATAATCTATCACAGGATTTTCTTGCAGTGAGCGTCTACTCCACAAATTGCAAGTAACATGTACAACTTTCACCGTGATGAACTGATGATATGGTGATAACATGGGCTTTTGAAGACCTGCATACTTGGCACTGTCAAGTCAAAACATGAACAAAACATGACTACAACTTTACCTTTAACATAATCTGAGCAGCGGGGTAATATAACTCCACCAACATTGCACTTCAATGCTTAACTATTACTGAAACATTCAGAGCTGTGTGGACAATACCATTTCAGCAGTGCAAAGATGTGTTGATATCCCTGAACTGATACACCCTTCACTGAGATAGATGTGTGCTCATACAAAATGAATATGTGTTTTCGCTGATAGAGTAAATGCATCTTTTCCTCACCAGGTGTACCCATGCAGCAATGATAAGGAGTGCAGTGTGGGCAGCTACTGCCACAGCCCTCAACAGGCTCCCTCTCGCTGCCTCACTTGCCGCAGGAGGAAGAAGCGCTGTCATCGAGATGCTATGTGTTGCCCCGGGAATCTAGCCTAGAGACTTACATTTAAATAATGTTGAACACATGCTTTTAGACAAACTCCTGAACTGTAGTTGAACTGTATTAAATTGATGCCCAGAGGTCAGAATTCAATGGTCAAGTTTTTGCATTTTCCTTTAAGAGTTAACAATGTGCGTGGTAAGAAGGTGCATGTGTGTGCTGAGGGCAGAGAGGTTGTGCTGAAATTTGCTTGGTCTTTGTTTGTAATTGACAGGGACAGGAGGTTACCTGCATTCACAGCTGCAGCTAGTTACCTTGGAAAGTTTTGTATTTTTCCTTTTTCTGTGACATTTTATCTTTTTTTTGTCTGCAGATATTTGTGTCCCTATCTCTGAGAGTGTGATCTCACCTCACATCTCAGCAATAGATGAGAATAACAAACTCCCCACCAAAGACCACAGCTGGAGGAAGGGTGGTAAAGGACATGCTAAGCATGTTCTTAAAGGTACAGTAACATCTGACTACATATCTCTGATGTTAGATTTAAAATGTCCACTGGAAGCCCTGCCATCTCTATGCACTGTCACTGTTCTTGTTTCTCTCATGTTCCTCAATAAACCTGGTCTGCATGGCTGAATCTTTCTGTTGTTGACTGTCTGCATGTCTTACAGAATTCTTAGGCGACACCAGTCCAGAAACTATGTTGATAATTACCCCATCAGTGTCTGTGAGCTCAAAGCATGGCGAGGCTAGAAGAAACCACAATGCCCCTGCTGTTTCTGTACCCACCCAGAACCATACAAACACTTTCACTGACAGCACATATTGTGTGAAAACCACAGTATGCAGGTTTGGCATGATTATAGCTAATAACTCACTGAGCCTCCTGCTTAGCATTCATGCCATCTGATATAAGTTAATGTAAGAGCCTATCCATAAAGCAGCACATTTAATGAGACACCTAAATGATTTAAGTCTAAATGCACCCTAAAGCTGCAATGGTAAAATCAATGTGAAAAGAGCAGCAGCACTTACTGTAAAAGTTGCCACCTTTTATTTGTGACTGGCTCACTCCCTCTCCTGAAACATTACTTTATTATAATGGGCTTGCACATGTTGCTGCTTGAGAAAAATCCACCCAAAGAATCAATGGTGGTAAGGAGGCGAACAAGCAGTCAGACTCTGGAGTCAGCAGTGTGGTTTTGTTAGAAATACAGGATGACTGATTTGAATGATAAAGCAGCCTTTGGCAAAAGGTGGTATATACACACACACACACACACACACACACACATACACAGAAGAAACCCATAAGTAAATTGTACTATGCATTCTCGGGAGTAATACTAACCTCCTGACAAGAACACCAGACACAGACCACATGGGACAAGATGGCTAAAACACAGAATAATCACATTGTTTGCTTAATTTATGTTGAAAGCTTCACATGTTTCTTTTGTTTCTAAAGTGGCCACAAATAATGCAATTTGAACTGAAACGTGAAGAAAGAGCTGCATTAACTTGTCCGTATGGAAAACATAACAGCTTAATGAGCAGTGATTATACTTTTCCTTTGCTTTTGTTTTTAACTGAAGCGCTCTACAGCAAACTTCAAGATGCTGGGTGGTTTATAATTTCATGCAGGTCTTTGATGTCTCTGATGAAGTATTTGTTTTTCTTTTTCCATGTAGACATTGGAGTTTATTGTTCACTGGTTCACCAATGAACAGTACAGTGTTGTGTGTCTTGTTTTATTAGGGCATGAGGGTGACCCCTGCCTGCGTTCATCCGACTGCTCTGAGGGCTACTGCTGCGCCCGTCATTTCTGGACAAAAATCTGCAAGCCGGTGCTGAGGCAGGGAGAGGTGTGCACCAAGCAGAGGAAGAAAGGCTCTCACAACTTGGAGCTCTTCCAACGCTGTGACTGTGCCAAGGGCCTCTCCTGCAAGGTGTGGAAAGACGCCACCTCCTCGTCTAAGTCCAGGCTCCACATGTGCCAGAAGATCTGAAGCAGAGGCAGCTGCTGTTGGCATACAGACCTCTGTCTCCATCTGCCAGCTAAAGTTTTTTAAAAGATAGACCGTGGCTGTATTGAAAATGAGTAAGACAGAGACTAAACATGAGATAGAACAGACTGTGTGGGTTCAAGCTTGCTAGTC